ACAGAGGAGTGATAGCAAAAAAGGAATTGGATGCTAGAAATTTAATTAATGAGCTTTTAAAGGTTCCATAGGAAGGATTTATGTAGGTGTGAAAAAGGCGAGAAAGCTGATTGGGAAATTCAAAGTTTAATTTTGGAAGCTCTGCTCTAGCTATGGAACAATCAAAGGACTGCACCTATCAGCTGCAAAAAACAGCTAGACAGCTGTTGTTGTTTTGGGTTTTTTTTATAAATGTTTCTGTGTTGTGTCAAAATGATTTCTGGTGATTTAAACTAACAGATAATCACAGCTGCTGTCTAAATCCATAGTGTTTAAAATTACAAAATGAAAAAAAAACTTCATTACCTGTGAAGACTGTGTCTGTGTTTTTAACTATTTCTTGTACAAATATATGAAATCTTTTATGAGGAGACTGGTGCCAAGTAGCTGAATAATGGGGAAAGGGATTCTGTTCGTATAAATCTTAGCAGTGTTACCAACTCTACAATATAAAAAAATTAAAATGTTAAAAAGTGACAGCTATGGTACATTTATTTTGTGTTAAGCTAACCGAATCTAACTTCTTGAGTGCCTGGCTTATTTGAAACATTTTTTTCATTGATCATTGATAATGCTGCAAATCAGAAATGTACATACTTCATTTACAACAGGGTTCTTTTTATACTTTTGTAGATTCTCATACATGTCATACATGGTTGTCTTTATGTAACTTAATTTTTTTTCATCCCGCAGGTGCCATTTTCATAATAAACTTCTCTTGGATTTGTTACTATCTGGCATCATTTCTTTTACATATAACCATCCTGACTAATGAATGCTGGTAGTATTTGTTTGAGCAGGTATTTTTTAATCATTTTGTTTAAAAAAAAAAAAAAAAGAAAGAAAAAAGAAAAAGAAAAAAAATAAAATAACTAAAATACAAGAAAAAAATAACCAAAAATGAAAGAGGAAAAAGCAAGATTTTATTAACACTTTTGAAATGAAGAAAGGAAGCTGTCAAGATGTAGGTTAAGAATGCTAATCCAAATACTACAACAAACTTGCCACCATTCTAAATTCTCAGCTACCCCAACTCATTGTCATATTGAGCATTTTTATGCACATTATCAAAGCTGAATAATGTACCTGCAACATTAACCACTATAGAAAGTGTGCATTTTTTTCCTTGATTAATGCACACTGGAAGAGGTCAGCTTTTGTACATTAATCATTTAAAATGCACTTTATATTTTCATTTTTGTAGTCTACAGTGTTACAGTGAAACTCTTCAGTCACATTATATCCTACCTAGGCTGCTGATTCTTTTAAATGTGTACCTTCTTTCCCCAGAGTGGCGACCTGTAAGTAGCTGATGTCATGCTGATAGACATTCTGCCTTACCAACTGAGAACAGAAACATTTGCTAGTGCAGAACTGACAAGGCAAAAAGCCTTGGTCCCACAAATGAAGGGGGGAAAAAAGTCAAATACACTTTTGATTACACAGAAACCCACACACAGTGGCTGGCCTTAAAAAGGGAGCAACCTTGCATAAATTCTGGGTAAAAAAAAGGCTGGGGGTGGGACAGGGGAGTGGAAGCCTTCTCACCCACTGCAGTTCTGCATTCATTGCCTTTCTTTTAAGTGCCTCTCCCACCTGTGACAGATATTTCCAAACTCCATATTTTATTTTGTTATGCTGAGTATGCAATCCCTAAGAATGCAAATTTGGTAATAGCCAAAATCTCTAAGCAGCTTTGAGTGCCTAATCTCCTTTCTTCTGTATGTCCACTTAGAAATTCATGCTGCTGGGCTAGTCATTCTGGGTCAAATTCTGCTTGCCTTATAAATGCTGAATAAAACTGTCTATTCACAGTTTGCAGCACAACTCCTTACCGTGAAACATACACTCAGCTGAAGTAAGAGCATGTGAATCTGTCTTTCTGGGCTGATTAAAAAAAAAGTGTACAATTACAGCTTAGCGAGCCAGCCCAGTACCTTAATAGATTGAAGTCTGGCTCTTTCAGCTTCCAAGCAGTTCAGGATGCCCACTTCCCAGGCTCCAGGCATTGAGTTTGATACAACTCCAAGTTGCAGGGGGTAGGGAGAAGCAGAGGTTAGCAGTGCTGCTTTCAGCTCTGCTTGCATGTTCCAGTTGGCAATGTATCTTGTTTATGAGGTAGCTAAGGGTGCCAGTGCCAACCGAGAGGAAAACAGAATTTAAATGCAGATTGAAAGAATGACCAGAATAAAGCTTAATGGAAGAATAACATGATTGTTCCAAATAAGTGTTAAGCAGTATGACTAAAGCCACTAATTCCAAGAAGGGGCTTGAGAGGGGCATTTCTGAGCAATTATAAGGGGTTTTTATATCTCAACCATACTGCCTACACATGCATCAGAGCATGGAGTTGATGGTCAAACTTAATAGACTGCTCTACGATTTGCAGTTGAATGAGGAAGTTTGTGTATTAAAGAAAATTATGGAAAGGCCATTTCATGGAGCGGTTTTCATAGTGATGCTGTTGCACTCATCTGTCTCTGTTATCTGCAGCAACTTCAATAAACAAAATCAACTTCTTGAAAGTGTTAAGCCCTTTGAAAAGGGTTCTTTGGGGTCTAGCTGCTATCTTTGTAATATTTGAGGAAAAACTCTGTCATGCAGGAAGCTGGGAAAACTTTCTCAAGTCATCTCATCAAAGAACATTTCCCAAAACAACGGATGTCAGTAACTGCCATCTCTAGAAAATTTGTTTCTGACCCACTTGTTTTGCAAAGTGGCATATGCAGATATTTAAAAGCTAGCTGAAGGATTGCAAGAGGAAAAGGGCTCTTTCCAAGCCTCGTGACTCTGAGAAGTTACAGTGAAAGAAAAATATTTCAGGAGTACTTAAATAATCAGCTCTGACAGCTTGCACTGGTGCTTTTGCACAGTGGTTGTGTCACTGGAGTAACTGCGATGCCCCTGACAGCGCATTTATTGTTATGATTCTAGGAAATGCATTAGTTTAAATGTGTCAGTGCTCTCAGAGTTATTTGCATAGTATTTTCCCTTCTTACCATTGTCATTTCTTTATTTTCATTTTAGGGCAGGGGGAGGAGGGTGGAAAGACTGGATATGCATTGTCAACTAATTTAATGAACTGTCATCTATCCAGTGAGTTTACTGAAGAGCCTACAGAAATGTTAACAAATAGGATGTCACCAGAGCCACAGATGCTCAGGTAAGATCAAACCCTTTATAAAACATGCACATGCATGCACACAGGGTGGTACGTATGTATATATGCATAATAAAGGTCCTTTCTTCCTCTCTCACCTATTCTTTCATCTTTTCATAAGTGAGAATTGGAAGCTATTTTCATAAAACCTATCAAATCACAGCCACATTTTTTCAGCAAATCATAGATTCATAGAGTGGTTTTGGTTGGAAGAAACCTTAAGGATCATTTAATTCCAACCCCCTCCAGCTGCCCTCCAATGGGCAGGGATGCCACCCACTAGGTCAGGTTGCTTAAGGCCCCATCCAACCCAGCCTTGAGCACTTCAGGGGATGGTGATGCCTGGGTTGCCCACAACTTCTTTGAGCAACCTGTTCCAGTGATTCACCACTCTCTGAGTAAAGGATTTCTTCCTAGCATCTAATCTAAACCTACCCTCTTTCTTTTTAAAACCAGTGTCCTTTGTCCTGTCACTATTTGTCTCTATAAAAAAGTCCTTCTTCCTCCTTTTTTATAAACCCCCTTATGGTACTGGAAGGCTGCTAGGAGGTCTCCCTGAAGCTTTCTCTTCTCCATCTTAAACCCTAACTCTCTCAGCCTGTCCTCATAGAAAAGGTGCTCCAAACTTCTGATCATCTTCATGGCCCTAACAGGACCAAATAGGATCTTTTCAAAAGCAATATGACAGGAGATAAGCCAAGAATTCAGAGTTCTTCTTTTAATTGACTTGAATCAGGTGGTTCAGAAGTTTTGTTCAGAATCCTAAAGTCAGCAAAAGAGAGTGGAAGAAGCGCTTTTATTTATTATTTTTATAAATAATTTATTTATATTATTTATATAATCACCATGAGGTGGGTCTTTCAGCAAAACAAAAAATCAGGGTAGTTCAGACTTTTTTTTATATATTTCATGTTTCTAGAACTATCATATTCTAGAAGTAAATACAGAATGCTTAGTGACTCAGGTCTGAAGCCAAACAGACAAAGTCAATAACTATGTGTTTGATTACATTTGTAGGAAGTCTTGAGTTTTTTCCCAACTTGTAGGAGCTGTGTAGACTTGATGCAATGTGGAAAATAAGGGATTTTTTTGTAGACACCAACAGTACAACGGGTACTGACTTAAAGCTTGGGCAAAAAGATCATCAGGACCCGATAAAGGCTCATGGGATGTCAGTGGGAGAAGGTTTGCATGCTTTGCAGAGAGGAGACTGTATTGCCCATTGCTTTGTCTCAACTTACCTCTCACTGACTCTAGAGACATTGAAATGTTGAGATTACCTTTCCCCTTACAAGTTTTTCTGAGCAGGAGAACTCCTTGTTTTTCTTGTTTGTAATAAAAGGGAACATAATATTTTCTGGCAAAAGGAAAGGAATCAGGTTTTCCTCTTGCTTTAAAAGCATTCACAGATTTATAGCGGAAATGACAGGAACAGGATGTATAAACCATATGACCCCAGCAGAATGAGTCTACGCTCTTGATTGATTTAAAAGTTTATCTCTGTCCTTTGAACAGACACAAAGGGTCAAGCCTTGGTCTTGCTCAAATCAATGAGAGCTTGACTAATGACTTTAATGGCTTCAAGACCAAAGTTTTGAGCCAATACTCATAATCAAATAACAAAGCACAGCCTACAGCATGAACCACTGACCAATGAGTCAGGCTAATTGTTATCCTGCATCATTTCCTTTCTAATCCTGTACCACATCAGTTACACTCTAAGAGAGAAGCTCTTTTTTGTTTAATTAAAAAGCCTTTCCCAGTTTTCTCAAGCTGCATGGTCTGATCCATCCAGAGATTCCTACCTTTAAAACAGGTATACGTAGGCCTGCAGAGAGTGCCTTCTCACCCATAATCTGTGGGAGTGCACCTGGCAGCCTGGGTCTTTTATAGAAAAGCAATGGTGGAAACTCTGCTGGACATCAAAGCCTGTATTTTCTTGAGCTGACAGCAATACTAAGTAATGGCACATCAGTGTCACCAGCACAGCTTTCCCAGGCGCTCTTTTAATACCATCCAAGAGACAGGAAAGTTTACACTGTAAGGAGGTGAGTATTCACTGAAACCAGTTTCCAATTTCTCTTCAGTACTGTGAATTTCTGAGGTCTCTCAGTGTCCTCTGTTGACTTTCCTGTACTTCATTTATTTCTTCTTCCTAGTCGTCTGCTTTATTATAGCATGTAAGGTAGCATCTTGCAGGGTAGTGACAAAAAATTATTTCATCTCAGGAAATCCAGTCTCCTTAGATCATAGAAAATGGAAAGAGTCAGTATTCTCCAAAGATTTTTTTGAGCTGAAAACACAATGATTCATCCTTGTAGCAAGGACCAAGGGATCTCGGACTTTTCAGGATAAGATCCATTTCTGAGAACATGCCTCCCATTTATTGCTCATTGGCACCTCGGAAAAGCTGTAAGTTTTGTCCTTTCTCCTATTTAAAAGGAAAGGTCCTTGCTGCTCTGTATACTTTTGCCTTGCTACAAGACCTGCAGCTTATGTGCATGACTTGGGCCCCTTCAGTTCCTAGAAAATTTTCTTCACTAAATATTACCTGAAATTTTGGGTTGCATGTTGGCACAATCGTTTGCTTCTCATGAGACTATAGCCTGCCTTCATGTGTTCTTTTTGGCAGCAGTTTTCCTCTCTTTACCACCACCTTTGTTTTTGGCTTTGCCCATCCTTATTATCTTTAGACTGTCTTCAAACACACACCCCTGGGTCCATAGCACTTCCCCAGCATGATCTATAACCATTACTGCCATTCCATGGGTCGTGTTACCAAGCCAATTTTATATCCAATTGAGTATTTTACTATCAATCCCATACTTGCTAACCTTATAAATTAATCTGTTATGTAGCACTGTATCAGAGCCTTTTCAAGTCCAAGTAAATTATGTCTCCTTCTTCATCGCTGTCCACTTTCATTGCCACTTCCTCAGAGAAATGAATCAAGATTGTTAAGCATGACCTCCTTTTTGTAAATCCGTCCTGACTACCTCTAACCAATCTATATTAGACTGATATTAAATCAGGACACAGACTCAAAGGGGGCCTGTTATATAAATGCAACCTAAGGTTGCTTCATGTGGAGATGAGAGATTGGAATCATTTATGCACTGAAGTTTGCTGTACCAGGTCTGATGATTTGCCAGTAACTTAATAGTGGCCAGATCCCTCCCCAGGGTCTCAAACAGAACTCCCCTGGAGAGAAAAAAAGCTTTTATCTGCATTTGCCTAGCCTGTTTCTATTGCAGAAGTGAATGTGATCACTGAGGATAAGAACTGATTTTGCTTTTTTTCATCTGTGATTAAGTCAAAATCACAAAGGCATTGCAAAACCCTAATTTTCAACAGAATGTTGTCCCTCAGCTTCTGAGAGAGCTGTATCTGCATTGCCTAAGATGTATGTCAAAAGGCAGCATGGGTGTTGCTCTCGGTACAAATGCAGCCAAAGGATGTCAAGAGGATCTCCCACCTTGGTCCATCTTCCACCTTGGTTGGAGAGCGTGGGTGCCATGTCAACTGCAACAATTTTCCTGATATCCCATTAAGACATGGGATCTTGCTTCCCATGAAACATGTGTCTACTCTAAATACATCACTACTGACTAATGCCAGGAAAGCAAGTTTTTCCTCAGCAAGAGGTGGGGTCAGGGTCTACAAGGCGCAGCTGTGTGAACTGCACCATGTCCCCTTGCTTGCTTGCTGGGCTATGAAGTTGGCAGCCCACACAAGCAAGATGAGGAAAGAGGCTCTCAGCAGTGAATCCTGGGAGAAGTTTAGGTGCAAATTAGGTATGTTTTACGAGCTTTTCTACCTCAATGACTGGAAATACCTCCCTCAATGGTGTAAGCATAGTAGCGGTCTCTTTAGTTTGGGAGGAGAAGGCAAATCCATCCCAACAGTCTGTCTTGAGCTTTTCTGACAACATATGCATCAAGCACACTGAGATCCAGAGGAAGTCAAAGACATCCCTCAGGAAACTAACTTCTGCCTTCTGCCTCATAGCACACCCAAAGTGCACAAAGTGAGCCTTCTAATCTACACCCTGTGGAGGTTTATTGCTTATGTTCTATGTATACACATATGGTTCCCTTGTCCCTTCAAATCAGAAATGTGGTAGTCCGTGTATGGTGGGAGAGATGTTGCTTTGGGAGAGTTCAGCACAGTCAGTGCTGCTGCAGGACTTAGATATTCTGGCAAACATCCACTGAAACAAAGGAAAGAGCCCCAACCCAAACAGTTTGGCTTGTGTTCAAGGCCTTGACCCTGTAACAGCCAGTACAGACATGCTCAGAAAAATAACTTGCAGACACAGTAGGTCAATACAGAGAAGCATAACTTAAAGATAAGGGTTGTAAGGGTATAAAGAAATAGTTGGAGCATGTCTTCCCTGTTTGGAAGAGAAGATTGCTCATGTGCTTTATAATGAAAGAGTTCTGAAGAGAAAGCAAGACTATCATGTACTTCTTATGCAGATATTAAAGCAGAAAGGCAAAAAAAAGCAAATCATGTTGCTAGAGTTCTCATGTTCCCAGTATCTGGTATCTGCAGGTAAAACATAGTCTTGTGATTGGCATAAGATACATCACAGCTACATGAAGTCCCATAGTCAAAGAAACATGGTTTAATATCAAGTGCATCATGTAAACATATATGCAATCCAAATTACCTAATATCTTTAAAGAAACAGCTGTTGAATAAGTATAGACTTTAGAAAATATATCAGACAAGCAAGTTATATAATTTGCAGCAGAGATTATAAAAATGCTTTTCTAAATAAATCTGGTCCTGGGTGAGAGATCAGATGATGGTAACCCTCCCTTCTGAGGGTAAAACCCCATTGAAACAGTGACCTTGCTGAAACTAATGAGAAGTCTGCTCTATATATGCACAATTTGTAGAATTAAATCTTAGACAAATTAGGAACAACAAAAAGTGAACCAAAAATGTAAACAAAACCAGCAGCAAAATCATTTGTCATGACTGTAAGGTTCTGCCTATGATATCTGCATACTGCAGTGAGCAAATAATGAAGTTTTTAAAGGATCAAAAGTACCTTTTCATTATTATGTTTTCTCTGTGTTACCCTGCAGCAGATGAGTTGTACTTGCAGGAACCCACAGTGCACTTCAGAGAAAGCATCCGTGAGAGAAGAGGGTGGGGACTGACATTTGAGATAGGAGATATCCTTTAACTTCATCATTCAGCATCTGCGGGACATTTGCCTTCTCTGCTTCTTTGTATCACAGCTCAAACATCCCCATGCACCCAAAGGGATCTGGCTCCCCATGATAGGCAGGGACTCACACCAGGCAGACAGCTTGAGCGCTGAGTGGCAGAGTCACAGCCGGGCAACACAGGACATGGAACTCCACCACAGTCCTGCCTTGCAGACATCATTCCTGGCTGGCAGTGTCAGGGATACACTGACTTGCACCCATGTGTGAGCACAGCACAAAATTTCTAAATACACTTTGGGCCATTAAAGTTACAATCAAGTTGCTTAAAATATGAAAATTCATATTACCAGAAATCATACCCTGAGAACAATTTTCCCAAACTTCATAAATATTAACTTCAGCATTGGTTTAGTACCAAGTTTAAAAAGAAGCATACAAAGCTCAAAAACTCTTTTGTTACTTTAAAGGCATGGTGCTGAGGTGTGAATTGCCTCAAACATGCACCACTTTGGCTACATGATGCTGCAACGAGATGCAGGACTTTGTCACCTAGTCACGCATTTATTTCCATCACCTAAATTCATGTTCCAATGCAGACAAGAGTTTTCTTGAAATTGAATTATACCACTACAATATTCTAGACCTTTGCTTTGACCATGAGCACAAACCTTCCTTTCTTACAGAGACTACAGAGGGAAAGACATCTCCCTGTAGTCAACACATCCCCCTAAAAAGTGGGAAATCTAAAGTGCCACCTTTGAGAAGGCTCAAAATATCTTCTCCCCATCTATTTTGGTCAGGTCCAGAGTACAACAAAACATTCAAGAGAGTGATAAATTAATCTAACAAAACAATTACTTGTATTTCTCTAAAAGTGTGTTGTGATGCTACTTAGTAGCACTTCTGAGTAATGACACTGCTGCTGTTAGCAGCTGTATTAGCATCAGTAGTGATGTGGGGTACTGTAGTAAAAGTATCACTTCTACTATCCCCCAGTAGTGATGGTAGTGTTACAAGGATAAGTTCAAAGTAGTTGCTGGATTTTCCTGTACTTATGAAAGTGCACTCAGCTGGGAGTGTGCTCAGTTTGCTTCCAACTTCCTTGACCCTCCTCTGCTTGCTTCCACCCATTTTGGTCACTGATAGACTCATTTTTTCATTTGTGCACAAGATCCCACACTGTCAGATGTTAGCAAAGTAAGCAGTTTGGAGTCTTTATGTTAGAATATTTTTTGTCAGTTGACCTTGTAATACTATCATTTGATAACTGCATGTGACACTAGCATTTAACACTCTGTCTGGGCTGACAGATAAAATTCAAGGCACAAATCAGTAACTGTTCCAGGGCCTCATCACCACAAAGATGGCTTGCCTTTTCATGCCATGCCCAAACTAATGCTGCCCAAAGAAATCTGCATAAACTATCAGGAGAGGCTCATCATGGTGGGTCACTTGTTCCCAAATTAGTTACTTTATAATTTGCCACAGTGGGAACTTGATGGCCTTGTAAGGAGCACGGAAGAAGCTTTTCTTTAGTTTTCTCAAACAGCTGATAAATGCTGTGATGTTATATGTCAGAAATAACATTTTCATTGATGATATGGGTGGGTCTGGGAACCTCTGCTCCATACTGTGAGAATATGTCCCAGACCAGGGCTCAAAAAATATTTAAGTGCTGATCACTAACTCAAAACAGTACCATAATGTTAAAAATAATTATAATAATGATGAATGGTAGCACAGTCTTATTCATAATTGTTCATTACAACTGAAAACTGATTAGATCTTCAAACACATCCCATCCATATACCTGACAGCCCTCTGCTGAGCTATAAAGGTGAGTGGCACGTGCTCAGTGAAGCTGACCCATACAGTGAAATGGTTTATGAGGAATGACGATATATGATGAGAATACAAAACTTGATAATGGGTTTATTTATTGATTGCAAATAAAATTCATGAACTGTGAAGCTGGAAACTACACCACAGGGAATTGGTCCAAGAGGACGTTACAGGGGGAATGGGAGAGGGAGAATGTATTACATGTAAACTATGTTAAAGGTTGCCTAAAGGCTTCTGATTCCACAAGCAGAGCCTCTGAGGAGAGGATCTGAAAGCCTTTAATGCTACTAAGGCTTTGTCAGTAAGATATTTGCATATTTTGCCTACAAACCCAAAATGCTGTATTAATTCATTTTTATTTACCTTTCTGCCACTTCTAAAAGAAACCTTGCAGGAAGCTATTAATGACACTGCTTCATAAGAGATAATTTTCAGAGAGGCTTTGCAGGTAGTGACTGAAGGGGGGGAAAAATGTGTGTCAAATTTAGGTTATTAACAATATAATCCTTAAACAGACAGTATCTCAAAGACTAATTCATCTTCAAATTTGTCTGCAAAAACCTCATGATCCTTCACTCTGTGTGCATACAAACTTATATTGCATGTCTTTTTTTCATCATGTTTACCAGAAAGGGAAGAAGGAGAGCTTTGCAGCACTGGGCTGGAGGCTGGGAAACACAATTTTGCTATGACACCTTTATGCTACAGCACCTTCCATTCAAATTCAGGTCCCTTTCTCCACAGCCCACCAGCAAAACCAACAGACAAGCAGCTTTCTCTCACAGACCACATGCAAAGCAACAGGGTAGCAGCAGGAATGAGATTGATGTATTTTGTTCTAAGTTGCACAATATTTTTTGCTTAATGCAATGCCAGGTTCTTGCTGGACAAAGCTTTGGACAAGCTAAATAAGAAGCAATTTTTCTTAAATCTGTGGCTACAAGAAATCAGGAGTCATATTTAATATAATTCTAACGGCATGATTTTTTAACCACAATATGGGAAAAGGAGTCTTGACCTTTTCCCTACTTAAGCATAAAGTACTGAAACCTTTGTGTCTTTCCACACTGAGAGAAGACCTTTTTCTCACGTGAATTGATAATATTCAGTACAAGCTTCTTTTAAACTTTCCTGTTGTTGGAGGTACATTTTTCCTCCCTCTACTCAGATCCTTTTAAGATATAATTTATTAGAGGCTTCCTTCCTGTACTGGGTGTTCTATTTATAATCTTTGTAGTGTCAAAATTATCTCTGAGGAAAAACACAGAGTCATATATGCCACCAGCATAAGTGGCTCCCATTCCACTGCCCAGTCCAGAGCCAGAGCCCTCCTGGGTGCCTCTGAGCCCTGCTCCACACGGACAGGGGCTGGCAGGGAGGCAGACAGGAGGGCACAAGGCAGCTATGGCAGAATGACACCTGAGTGGAAAGGCCTCCGTTTACAGCAGAACCTTGTGTGTGGTCTAGGAGGGTTTTCATGACTCTGAACTGAAAGGCTACAGACATTCGTTCTTCACAGGTGCTGTTTTGTTTTCCTGGGGTTTTTCCACACAAAGTGAGGAAACATTGCATCTGGAAAATTACAAGCTCTACTCGTGCCAGTAGCTATTTCTGGAGAAGCAGCCCTGTGACACCATTAACACAGTTAATTAGTAGCAAACCCCAAAGATGCTTCTTAGATCATGGCACAAAGAGATAGTAGAGAAAGAAAAAAAAAAGAAAAAGAAAACTTTTTCTTTGGGAAGGGATCTTCAAAATGGGATATTCCCTAAAGAAATTAATATGAGGGAATTAGAAAAAAAAAATGCTCAGCAATGTAAGGGTGTCACTGAAGCACAGAATTACAGAATATGCTGAGTTGGAAGGGACCCACAAGAATCATCAAGTCCAAATCCTACCCATGCACAGGAACATCCCAAGAGTCACACCATGTGCCTGAGAGTATTGTCCAAATCTTCTCAAACTCTGCTAGGCTCCATGCTATGACCACTTCCCTGAGGAGCCTGTTCCAGGGCTCAATCACCCTCTGGGTGCAAAACCTTTTTCCTAATATCCAACCTAAACCTCCCCTGACAAAACTCAGGCCTTTACCTCAGCTTCTGTCACTGTCACAACAGTCAAGAGATCAGTGCCTGCCCCTCCTCTTCCTCCTCATGAGGAAGTTGTAACTGCACTGAGGTGTCCCCTCAGTCTCCTCTTCTCCAGGCTGAACAGACCAAGTGACCTCAACCACTCTCATATGGTTTCCCCTCAAGGCCCTTCACCATCTTTGTTGCTTCCTCTATCCACAAGTGCTGGACATACCTTTGAAAACTCACAGCAGCTCTGTGTGGCAGCATCCTTTCCTGCTGTGCGTTACCCTGGGGACGTGGCAGGACAAGATGCCACAGTGGAGAAATCCCATGTGTGGAAACAGGCTTCTCCATGTACCTGTTCATTGTGTGCAGGAGTATTCTCTGGACAGGTCTTCTGTGTTGACATTCATGCCCTGTAGTTCTGATACAACAATTAGTTTATAATCCTTTAATATATTTTTACCTAATTTAAAGTTCAGTGCTGAAAGAAGATTAGGCATATAGCTCAATTACTTAAATGCTTAAGACTCTTCTTATACACCAAAAAGAAGGAAAGTTTAGGGATTTGAGTTTTAATGCCCCGTGATAATCTCCCCACTTCCTTCAAAAACAGCTGCAAAACAAAAAAATTACATAAAACATTCAGGGCCAGAAACTTTCTCTTTGCTGCTCTTCAGAGGTCATTTTCAAGGTTTAATCCTCGTTTGCAGTCCAGTAAGACAAGCAAACCACAGGCATGGTTTAGTGGCAAACACGGTGGTTCTGGTTGAACTCGGTGACCTTAGAGGTCTTTTCCAACTTAAATGGTTTCGATTCTTTGACCTCCAGATATCTGGACAGGTTAGTCTGGAAGACCATGTACCTAATTCAGTTGCCATGCAAGTCAGTAGCTGCAAACCCAATCATTCACCCCCCTCGTCCCTGAAGGATTGAGTGCATCTGCTTCCAGAGGCACACAGGATCAGCAGGACTGGGATGGGTCCAAAGATGATCATCCTCATCATGATCGGCATGCTGCATGCCACATCTGTCACCTACTGCCTTGAAAAAAAGCAGGGCATGTCTTTGCTGTTACTGCATTGTGTATTGTTCATGATCATTTTCATTTGGGCAAATTGCCTCCAAATTTCTTCTTACCCCACTATAGCTCTATAATATTTGGCCTGCTGTTTTGATCACCAAACTATGCACACTCTGCTCAAAAAAACCATACCTGAGCTTTTTGGTTTTCCTTTATTTTGTTTTGTTTCTATTGTATTCAACAAGCTACAGAGATTCACTAGAGATTTAGCAACTGCAGTGCAGGCACTGTATCTATACCATAAGCAAAAGTAGAAACAACTAGAAAGCTTCCTGCACTTCGTAAAATATTAATAAAAAGGTTCTAAATAGTTGTCTAGTTGTCATATACCTTGCTAAAAACTACTCTTTGTTGATTAACAGAATTATAGTTGAAGTCATATTTGTCCAGTGACTCCTTTGTGCTTTGTTTTTACGTGGTGTTATGATAGTTTCTATTTATGTTTCTCTCTTCAGTAAGAGAAAGAATTCAACAGAGAGGAAAAAAGTATATATCTTGTTTACAAATATACATACAACAGATATAGCCATGTACAAACTCTGTCTTAAGATTTGGTCTCGTCCATCTGCAAAACTTCACAGGAAAAGGAAGAAAACCTATTTTTGCTATATTTTCCAAAATAATTACTTCACCTGCTAGTAAATTTATTATATCAAATTGTCTGTTTATTTATATATATTAATTTTTTATTAAAGGAGCAGTACTAAAAATAAGAAGTGGAATAACTATATGCAATTGCAATGTCTAAAGAGGAGACATCATATTGGAAAATAATTAGCTATTCAAAAATAATCACATTAAACTTACTCTGTACAACAGACTAAAATAGAAGCCATTTTAGGCAAATGCCCCTGCTCCTGTTAAGACATATTTTGTATAGCTAGGATCCTAATTTTAATCCTTTCCTTCTGGGTAACAATGCTAGGTGTTATTAAGGTTAACATCTCCTTTTGCATTTATTTTAACTCTTTAATTTAATTTATAATGTCAAAAAATAAAACTGAAATGTACTCACACTTGTAAGAGCTTTGGAATTTATGCAGCAAGATTTTTTGAGACCTTTTCTCCTGTTAAGTTTCAACAACACACACTTAGCAATTCCCTTCTAGTGTTTCCTTTCAGCGGATCAGCTGCATTAATTTAACTCCTCTACTGTGATTTGTAGTTAACAAAGACTACACCTGGGGAGAAAAGGAGCTTGGTGAGTGAGTCTGCCTTTTGCTATCATTTGCTTGGTCTGAAGATAATGGTGGCAACACTGACAATGTTTAAAAAAAAAAAAAAAAAGAGGGGTACTTCAGATTTGCACTCTAAGAAACACATGACAGAGAGGAAGATAGAGGTTGTTGAGGAAAAAAGCTAAGAAAATACGTCAGCTTTGAAAAAGCATCTTTTTACCTAATTTTTTTCTGTTGGGATCCTATTCCAGATGTTTGACTAATCCAAGCAGCCAGTCCAGCACTGCACTATCACTATCACCATTACCTATATGAGGCCCCACCACAACTTTCAGTTCTCCACACTCCTGCACCACCCTCATCTTCCCACACAGCAGCAGAAAGGACCGTTCAGCTGGCCAGTTTGCTGGTGTCAGAGGCCACGTTGCACAGGAAACAGAAGGGTATGAGACCTGCAGACCCTCTGCACCCCTGGTAAGTGCTGGGATTGAAATAGGCCTGTCCAGAGAAGGGATCTGGGTGTGCATGTGCACAAGTCTCTGCATCACCCCCTATTACTGCCTTTTGCTGCCTTGTACCCCAAGTGGCTCTGGAGAGCCCTGTTCCCATGGGAGAGACATCTCTCAATAATAATGTGTGCCTCACAATATAAATAGCAAAGAAGAACCTCAGTCTAATTTCCAGAAAAACTTGGGGGTTTTTTAGTTTTTTGGGGGATTTTTTTGGTTTTGGTTTTTTTTTGGTTTTTTTGTTGTTGTTGTTGTTTTGGTTTTTTGGTATTTTGGGGGGTTTTTTGTTTGTTTTTGGTTTTTTTGTTTGTTTGTTTTTTTGTTTTGGTTAGGTTTTTTTTTGTTTTTTTTTTTTATAATCTAGGCTTTCTAAACAGCAGGGAAGAAAAGGACATTATTCAACTCCTTCACAGTAATGAAAAATCTGTGGCTAAAGCACAACCTACTAAATACTTTAGCTGAAAAACAAAACACCTGAGCACACACATAGCACCATTAAAAAATCATGTAAATCTACACATGATTTCAAAAGTGCCCAAGTTCCTTAGGATGGGTTGCACTAGAAATGTCAGGGAACGGCTGAAAAATTCCTAAGCCAGTATCCAAGAGCTGAGGGATACATTCTACTGTGGGCCACTCTCTCTGCTCACATGTGAGGCTGAGGAGGGAGGGCTATGCCACATCCCAACAAGACAGGGACTGCAGTGAAGGCTGCCAGAACAGTCCCATACACCCAGAAGGCTCTTCGTGTTTGCCTCTCCACTGCCTGCAGCACCACAAGAAGCTGAAAGAGGCATGTCATACATTCTGTGACTCCATGGAGATGGGTGCAAGCATCACCGTTTAACATCATGGGAAGTAAAATAAATCACACACACAGAGAAAAAAAAATATAGGCAAACAAAGGAAAAAGGAATATTTTTGTAAAATATCACGGCATCTCAGATACAGCATTGTGATCTAGAAGTTATGAGCCATTGCCTAATACAGTTTGTACCACTTGGTGGCAACACTTCCATGTTTGATTTATTGAACTTTTCTCATAATCTTCCTTCTGATACTGAAAAGGACAAGTGTAGGCTCTGGTATGTGCAAATAATTATTGCAGAGAATAAAAATAAAAGGTTTGAATGGCTTTGGTACTACTTTCTGTCCAGGACTCCTACTAAATTCTTTTCAAGATTACATTGTTTTATAGCCTGAGACATTTCTAATACAAAAATTTCACATTCCTCAGGCATCAGTGAGAAGCCCTGTACAGCAATTTCATCTTAAATACTGGCAGAAGATAATTTTTTTGCAATGTGCAACCACCACCATGACAGAAAATGTTGACCAGCTGCTTGCAGTGCACCAGCTCCTCAGGAAAGACAAGTTAGATGGCTACTACTGTGCAGGTTTCTCCACTGCAAGTATGTTTTAAGACTGCAGGTAGACAACAGAAGGGCATTCAAGCTGCAGTCTTGCATGGTGCACAAGCAACAACCATGAAATGGCTCACTCTTGCAGTTTAAGTTTGATCTACAAGACTCATTCTTCCAGCAAAGATGCTCGGTGTCCCCACCTGCTCAACTCTGGGCACCCCACTAAACCTGACAATCAACATCATTTATGTCAATAATTTCTAAATTAAAGGATGTGCAAACTCACTGGCATTGGGTTCATATACCTGCAGTTTGTGGCATCCTGTTCTGCCACCTGTCTCTACGCTAACATGTCACTCTAAGGCTATCAAGGGCCGGGCAGGGTAGCTTTGGAAGCAGCCCGAAGTCGCTCAGTGGCCCAGGGGTGGTACTGAGAATGGGGATGCTCCTGGGCCTGTTACAGTCATGGGTGTATTTTGGTAGAAAGCAGTCCACAGACAGCTATAGGTGAGGCTCATGTGCTGCAGCAGCCTGCAGGAGTGCTCACCAGCCCAGACCATGGTAGCCTCAGTAAGAAGGGGGACAATGCATGTGGCTCTGTAATGACCAGGTGACTGGCCAGGATTTAGGAATGCTGAATGTCTGCAATCATTATCAAACCAGGCAGCAGCAGCCAAGTGACTAGAGAACCCAGGCTGCTGCTGGGCTCCCTGGGTCCTCTGCTGCATTTCAGCTTCCCTCCATGAGACTTGCAACTACAAGCCCCCTATGAGACATAGGATTTTAAAAGGGTTTTTAAACTAATAGGTTTTTCCACCCACATTGAGCCTGTAGCCCAGGTTGCACTCGCAGTAGAAGGAGCCAGGGGTACTGATGCAGCTGTGCTGTCAACCATGCTCCTGCTCCACACACAGGTCTGCCTCAGGAAGACAGAACAGGCACAAGATCAGACACATGGGGGACTCTGACTCTGGCACGTCACTGTCACTGCAGTCATAGCCACCAGGACAACCCACACAGACCCAGCCCTTCCAGCCCCAACACTAACCTGTTGATCTCCAGTGCAGACATGAGCACTGTGAAGGGAAGATTTCTGAACTGCCTTCTAATTTACCCAAGTGCTAGATCAACACTGAGTAATAATTGATAATAGCTTGAGCTGAGTAGGCATAAGCTTGAGCTCAGCTGGAATGTGCTGCAGGAGCCCGATCTGAGTGTCTGTGCAGCCAGAAGCCCGTAGAGCCAATGGGAACTAGGCAGCAGGGCAAGCAGGAAACAGGCAGAGCACTGGAGGCAAAGGCATCAGGTGCAGGAACACATCAGCGTCCTGGGAAGCAATATCTTGTCAGCCTGGACTCCCCCAGCCCAGCAAGCTGAGACTCACCATGGCACTAGTGCAGTCCCTGGCAAGGAAACACTGCCTGGAAGAGGCTGGCAGCTGCCTTCTGCCCTTCAACAGATGCTGAAATGGGTAAGGTCTCACCAGACTGCTGCAGTGCCATGTCTCCAGCAAAGTCTGCCAGCATGGTGAGGGACAGACAGGTCCCGACCTGTGCCAGCGCAGTCATGGTGCAAAACAGCTTCCTGGCTCACAGCCAGACACTCCTGAGCAGCACCACATGGCCAGGGACCACAAACACAAATATGCAGTGGATGCCATGCACGTGTCTACATAGGAGGTGATCCTGATAGAGCCACATTAAAATATATATATTGATCTGTGAGATGTATATATATATATATATGTGTGTGTGTGTGTGTGTATGGCTCTGGGATGTGCCATCCAGCCTTATCACACCCAGGGAACCCAGCTCCACATTTCCTGCTCTTTAACATTTCCATCACTACTACCACAACATCCTGGCTTGGGCCAGAGCTACCTGGCACAGGTGAAGAAAAACACATGCTTGCGATGCTTGCAAAACTTTCCTTATCTCATATCGGGAAAGGTGAGCAAGTGGAAAGGGCACCCATCCCAACACCTCCCCATTGGGGAGATTTCTTCCCTGCCCATGCTACTCTCAGCAAGGGCAGCCACACTGAACACCCCTCCAAAGGTAATCTTCTAGCCCAGGTGAGAAGCAGGCACCTGACACTGGCAGCTCTCACACAGTACTGAGCTAATCCTGGAATTGTTTCCTAAGCTGCCTCATGAGCTCAAAGGACTCCAGCAGCAAGATGTGTTCCTCCAGCAGCTGTGAATCCATGGCCCACAGTGAATTCATGTCTGCCTGCTGGGTGTCCATGGAGCATTATGTTAACTGCAGCATTCCAGGCCTGGGTGGCCACCACAATGACACAACGGTCATGGGGTCGTGCATGCATCATGAAGAAGGCAATGCAGGGGATCTCATTGTGCAGGGGCTGCAAGCCCTCCTGCATGCTGAAGGCCATGTTCACCGTGTACTGCTTGGCCAGTCCCCTCACAGTGCCCTGGGTCACTGGGATGCTGTCTAAATCAAAGGACCACATGGCAAACTGGAAGATACTGCTTTGGGCAGCTCTCCTCAGCTCCAGTCTCCCCTGGGATTTGCTGCATTTTGCCAGTTCCTGCCTAAAACTAGGGCTTGACTTCTTGGATTTTTTTAAGGGCAGAAAATGAGACAGTATAAAGCACAAATGAAATCACACACAGGGCGGGGGTTGAGCCAAAAACCCTCTTTGCACATATGGATGCTACTACTTCCAGTGCAAACTGGGAGAGTGTTTAGCAAGTGAAATGTCAATTAACATATTTTGCTTAACTTGTGTGTACGTAAGTCTGGGATAATTTGGCCCTAGTGGTGAGCAAACACTTTGAGTCCCCTTGGGAGGATGCCCAGTCCTGGGCTGTTTTCTCAACTGCTCCAAAGGTCTCCAAGATATACCCACTACTTTGTCCATTTGGTGCCTGCGCTGTGTTTAAACTGGGATTGATTTAAATCTCTCTGCCCTGGGAGGAAAGAGGCTGGTGCTCATGGGTTTGCTTTGTCCTTCTTCCCTAGGAGACTCATGCAGAAAGGGGCTCGGGCTCCACCTCATGCCCTTTAATTACAGCCCAGTTTCCCTAATCATTCTGTAGCTGTATTCAGCTCTATGTAAAGTCATTTATTAAATAATGGGGACACTATTTACTGAACCCATAAAGACTTTCTGGGCTGTGCACCAACAATTTAGCACTTTTAATGAGAAATACAAGCTTTGGATTAATTTTTAAGCATTCCTTTGATGTCCAGCAGCTGCTGGGGCTGGAGAGTATAGTGCTGTGCTTCCAGATGGTGCCAGGATCTGGCAGAGGTAGTACTTGGAGGTATGCCTTCAAGGGAGGAGAAAAGAGCAAGAAGTAAGGCTTGGATTCAGCTTGAGAGAAGCTGGGGAGGAAGAAATCCATCTGAAGAACTTTTGACAGCATGCAGAAAAGCCTAAAATCAGTTTCCATTGCAAACTCACAGGTAATAACCACGAACAAGGTGTACATGGGCAGAGAACAACCTGCAGTCCCAGTGCCACACTCTGCTGAGGGTCCTGTAGAGCCATTCCCATCCCACATGGCTCATGCTTTTCTTAGATCACAGAATATTCTGAGTTGGAAGGGACCCACAAGCATCACTGAGTCCTACTCCTTAGTGAATGGCCCGTACAAGGACTGAGCCAACAACCTTGGTGTTAATAGCACCATGCTCTGACCAACTAAGCCAATCTCAGGGCCACCAGGAAAAGCACTTTGTGAGCCTCTTCCTGAGGCAGCAAGGCCTAAACTGTGCAATCCTTAGGATGCTGTGCCAGATGCTGCATTTTCCAGGCCCGAGCAGGACTGTCCAGTCTATTTCCTGAGAATGGGAGGCCATGTGCTGACCCTACATTTGCAGCTCTGCTTGGGTCCCAAAGGCACTGAGGAGCCTCAGCCTGCCCCAGCCCTTATAGAAACCCATCATGGGGTTGCTGCTGCAGAAGCACAGGTCTGTGTGATGAAACAGGCAATCTTCAGAGCTGCGGTGCTTTTATCTATTCCTCAACTGTCAGGAGACAGAGCATAAATGTAATAGCACAGAAATCTCAAAATCAGCAGTGGACAGAGCAAACTGAGACTTTGAGTCTTAAGATGGCAGGGGAGAAAACTCCTTTGTGCTGCTGCACAGGGTGATGCTGGTCAGGATGCTGGCCAGAGCTGGGTGCTCTTGCCAGTGGGGATGGCAGAGGGATCCATCCCTTCAAAATGCCAAGCCAGCTTGGGGAAGGCATGCCACCTTCAGAGGCTGGGGTCTCCCCCATGTCCTCCAAAATGGCCTTGTCTACATCTTATGGTCATGATTTGCTGACAAGGGGAATGAAAGGAAGCTGAGATTCCAGCAATTTTCATGTGTTCCCTGGGCACTGACACAGAGGCTAAGAAAAGGAAATATAATAACAATGAAGGGAAAATGTTTAGCTTATGATATTAACATGATTATAGCAGCAACAATAGTATAGGTTCCAACCTTACATAAAATTTTGATGAACTGCCAGTTTTAAAAGTGAAAGAAAAGTTTACAAGAACTACTCATAGTATTTAATATTAATAATAAACATTTATGCTGAAGTACTGATATTCAAAGTCATTGAATTTATGATAACATTAGTTAACTCGAGTCCTTTCAGATGTGTGAATTAATGACTCAACTGAGAATTACTTAAAATATACTTGGAAAGCAACGTGGGATTGCAAAGGGGAGAAAATGTTTAATGGACGTAGCAAACACTGACTCTCAGACACATGTACATTCTTTTTAATCAGAACATGAACTTTTGAGAGAGGAGAGGTTCCTGCCTTTAAAACCATATGCCCCCAAATGCTAACTTCTGATACTCCACTGTGTATTTCTTCAACACTGCCTTTTTTTTTTTTCCCCAGTATTATTTCCATGAGTAGTGAATGATTGAAGATGACCTATAACACATTTCCTAGGAAACAGAGAACCCAACCAGCTTCATGGCTGTTCTGGACAGGAGAGGAAGTTGCTTCCTGCTATATCTTGAGTCTAGATACAAGGGGGCATCACACTCACGATCGCAATTCTTGAATTTGAGACAGGAAAAAGAGGATGAGAGGAATGCACAGCTTTAGGTTTGGACAACAAATAAGTGTAACCTGCATGAACTATCTTACAGTAAGCGGGTTCAAAAGGCGATACCGATGCTGTGGAAAATGTAGGTTCAGCTCTGCGCTGCCCAAGAAGATGAGAGGCGCTGCTCAGCACAGAGCAGTGCCAGGCAGCAGGATCCTCCTGAGGTGCGTGCTCACCAAGCCCAACCTGCTGTGCAGTGCGTGCCTGTGGTAACTGCGAGTGCATCATGACCAAAATAAAAGGGCGAAATAAAAGGGAGAACAACTGCGCATGGCATGGTTAGGCTGAACTTCACCTGGTCTAGTCCTGCAACAATGCAAGGTAGTGGTCTCTATAGCCTTTACTGGAACAGGACAGCCTCTTACCTCTTCCCTTCATGGGATGCCTTGACCATGCAAGTTCCAAAATAATGCTTACATTGCCATGGCACGGAACATGTCATTTAACCTGGCTGGTCCTTGCTCATTGTTCCAAGAGAAAAAACAAAAACAACAACAACAAAAAACTTCTACTTACATCACTTCTGGCAGACATTTCTCCAACCAAATCTTTGGTAAGCGCAACTCTATAGCATCTTCAGATAGTCCAGTGGTTCAGCATCCCAGCCATAAGAAAGCTTTTCCCAACAAATGACTTGTAACTTCCTTGCTCCAATTTTATCCCATTATTTGTGTGTTATGCATCACAAGTACAGAGAACAAACTACTTATGATGCTTTTACTTCCTCCTTCACTTGCCTTCCCACTCTCCTTGTTCCTGAAAGGAACAGTACCAGATCTTTTAGCTTGTCCTCACACGTTATAGTTTGTAGATCACAGACCATATTTATTTTTTCCAGTGACTGATAGGGGAACATTTTTTTCCACATCTTTCTTGAAGACAGAAGCTACAATAACTGAGTTCACACAAATTTCCTCTAGAATCAATGAAAAGATATTAATTCCCTCAGAAATGTAACAACTTAATGGGTTCAACAGAAAGGTCACACTCCTCCCTCATCACGTGGACATACTGTGTAGCCTAATACTGAGGATCTTCTCCTGTGGGATGAACGAAGCGAGTCTGACTGTCCTTGGGTAAGCCTCGTGTCTGACCTTTGGCATCCTGCATCCATGCACTGACAGACAGGGATCAGAGAAGGGTAGAGGGCAATTCCTCTCCCCCCTGTTTTTGTCTCAGTGTTGGCTTTGGCTGAGGTAGTTAATTTTCTTCACAGTGTCAGTTTTGGATCTGTGCTGAACACTGGGTTGATAATACAGAGATGTTTTGGTTATCACTGAGCAATGCTCATACGGAAAAACCTTTTCTGCCTTTCGTACTGCCACAACGGCAAGGGGGCTGGGGGTATGTGGGAGACTGGGAGGGGACACAGCCAGGACAGCTGACCCCAAGTGACTTTCTTATAAAAGAAGCAGCTGGTACCTCTTAACAGTAGGCATTTTCTCCCTGGCTTAGAGCAGGGGATGGTGTTACCATGTATCACAGTCATGACCACAGGTCACCCACTGAACCACTGTATAGGTGGGACAGGTGTCAAAGCTGGCGTGAAATACAGTGATTAGTAAATTAAAAGCAGCCTGCTGTCACTGCATGCCACATCAACCCCCAAAGACTACATCCTAACCAGACCATCCCCAGGCACAAGCTGGATCAGCACCGTGTCCCTGACAGACAACCTCTGGGTGCTGCAGAAGAATGCCAAGTCCCTTTTAGGAAGCTAATCAACCTCTAGGTTTAGCAAAAGGGCACAATGACAGTAACCATTGTCTTTCATCCACTTTAACAACTCAACATCCTCTGCCAGGGATGGGATAATCCATCCTGAAGAGGATGCTCTGCTCTGCTCCCTCTACCCAGGGAGCTGTGAACCCATGTAACCACAAGTGATTTTTCAGAGCTCTACTAGTTTGGACAACAGGGTCCTTCTTACGATGCTTCTCACCAGCCCCACACAGAGGGGTTTTAAGAGCCAGTTACACCCTTGACTCCTCTCCTGTCAAGTCAGGTCCAGAGTGTTGGCTAAGATCAGGGATGACAAACTTCCTCCTCTCTAGCAGGACTGTGGGTGCCCAGCACGCTGGCATTGACTCTGTTTGATGCCATGCAAGAACTGCTGTTGACTGCCATTGACCCAGCGTGGTTTATTTAGCATCTCCAGCTTTGCTTATAATAAGCACACATGCAGATGAAATTATCCCTGCTTTCTACAAGACAGATAAACTCTGTCTATGCCTTGTGGAAGATGATGGGAGTTTTAACCAACTCTGAAGTACTCCATGGAGACAACATTATGTGGGAAAGGGGAATCAAGTTTTACTAACCTCTCTTCCACTGTCATGCTCCTTTGCAATTTTCAGTGCAACCTCCGATATCAGATGCATTCTCAAGAGTCATGAGAATTGTCAGTGCAAATATATTTAGCCATATCCCATTGGGTAGGTGGGGGAGGAAAGAAACCCCTAAATAGCTGCAAGATAACAATTACTGCAAACATTTGCTCAGAGAAAGTTTAGTCAGAGTTCAAAGTCCTTGGCAGCTGGATGGCCAACAGCCAGCTTCTTCTCAAGCTGTCCCTAGAAACCTTTACTCTTTGAGGAGCATGCTCAGAAGAGAAACCCCTCTGCTTTCCATAGCTCTTCTCCCTATGCTCTAAGAACTCCTCAGTCTAAAAGAAATGCTTAAATAAATGGCAAATTATTTAGACATCTCTTCCCTCTCTAACAAAAAAAACCCCACAAGTCAAATCCAAGCCCTCCATGATAGAAACCATGTTTTAAATAGGAGACGGGAAATTCTCACTCTTCATAAGATTCCAAAGGAATCAGAAAGTTCACAGCTCTACCAAATGAGTGAAAATGCCCTGGCTTTCATTCAACTGCACTGTTAGTGGGAGTGAGGAGAAGTCTCCCACACAGCCACAGGAGAAAACTGTGGGATTCAGGCTGGAAAAGTAGCAGGGGGAGGATGTGAACACTGTTAAAAATAAAACTTATCGGACAACAATTGAATCGTGAGAATGTTATCTGGTTCAGCAGGAGCGTAAAAACAAATGGGCATTTCAAGATGAGAGTCACTAGCAAGGTAAATAACTTCAAAATAGCAGGAAGTGACCAAGGGAATGTGCCAAGCTGAGGGCAACAAAAAAGGGCTCTCCAACAGCAGAAGACAGTCATGGATACAGATTTCAGTGTCACCCTACATGCAGCTGCGTGGCACTGCACCCACCCCTTGCATCCCTGGCTACAGTAAGACACAAGACTGAAGAGATTTGCACAGGACAGTGCTTAACATGACCCAGTGTTTATTGACTCCTGTGACATTTTTTTAATAGTAACAGGAACACAAAATGTGATGTGTGGTAAAATACTACTAGGGGTTTCTTTATGAATCCAATGCAAAGTGCCAGCATTGTTGACCAGCATACAACCTGACAAGAGAAGATGTAGTCATAACTCACTCTCAGATAACTGCTGGGAGTACATCACAGTCAAAGTAGAACTAGTCATTTGCCTGCAAATAGACACATTTTCTTCTAGATGCAAGTGGTGTTAGAGCCAGCTATTTTGCAACAAGAAATACATATAACATATTCCAATATTTTAAAAAACACACAGGACTAAAACTGCTTAAAAATAGAAGGGAAAAAAAGAGTGGAACTTTTTAGACACTATTTCATAGAAGTCATTCTTCACAGAACCAAAAGTAATCTAGAGAAAAAGATTTATTAGAGGCTACTTTGCTCAAAAGACCAGTGCTCACAGGTTTAAGAATAAAAAGTCTCTTGCTTTTCAGCACTGTCTCCTGGCCTTTTTTCCTCCCCGCACAACAAAAACCTCCTGTTGAGAACTGCAGCTTAGTAGCTCTGCACACTTTTCCTATGCAATTGAAAAGGCAACCATGTTTTTTAGAGCCATCAAAAAGTTGCATGACATGACACGTACGTGCAGCATGAAACATCTTCACAGATAAGAACAATGAAGGCACGTTACCTAAAGATTAAAAAAAAAAAAAAAAAAAACAAAAAAACCCAGAATTTTTGGAGGATTCAAAAACCTTAGAGAAAGCATTCCTTTCCACAACTGGCTGACAAGTGCTGTTTAGCCATTTGATTCAAACAGTTTGCTATGAAGACAAAACACAAGGAAAAGGCCTCTTTGAAATACCCTCCCCGTGTGTAGATCACACATGACCAACACCCCCCTACACCCCACCCCCAATTAAACTACAGCTTCTTCAAGGAGATCATCCTACTGGAAACAGAGTAAAGATCTGAAATGGAGGACTGAGGAACTGGTTTCAAGTTCTCAAGCCCTCAACTTTTTTTGCACTTGATTACAAGTGTTAATAAAGACAACACTCCCTGCCACAGAATAATTGCTCTGTCTTCTATATATGTCATATAGATGAGGAAGATATTCACAAAAAAGAAAGTATGTATTTATTTACAATAAATGCAACTATACTGCTCCATGTTCCATTCACCACACGTGTTGCTGACCACTGCAGAAACCTGGTGGTAGCAACAGTGATAACTGAAGTACCTTCCTTTTTCAGCCCTTACACAAAGCTTTTCCCCTTCCACCACATTGTTTTTCCACTGTTCCAGCCTCCAGTAAGATGTGTACTAACAATGCTTTCTAGTTCATTTTTAAGGTTACAGTTTCTAGAGGCAAAGCACTATTTGCTCTGCTCTGATTTTCCTCCTTTTAAAATCATGTAGGAGTTTCAAATTTATGTGCCATTATTAACTTTGAATAGGTGTATTCCATCACCTTCTGTAAATAGTAATGCTGTCTTTTCCAACACCTCTCACATTTCAAAGGATTACCTCTCTCTCAAGGAAGAGCACAAACTCTTTCACCTCCCACATGAACATTTCAGAATGAGAATTTCAAGTTATCATTAAGTTTCCTTCAAGTCTCTGGTGTTACTTAGAAGCAACTGTAGTAGAATAATGTTTTTCCTAACATTAAAGGACATTTATCACGTTCTTTGTCTTTTTCTAGTCTTGAGTTTTAAGGATATTAGTCGTACATGTTCCCTCATACTCCTCTCTTAGGGTGCACAGTGGTCAGGCCTATACAACCTTAGCTGGATCTCTGGAAGAAGCCAGAGAGAATAAGGGGTTTCTTAGCACTGCTGTATTTACATTCAGCATTCATGGGCAGGCTGAAGGATGCTCAGCTTTTCTTTAAGACACAAAACTGCTTTTAAAAATACTCCATTTTCTATTATCATTTTTTATGTCATGAAAGTTACTTCTTTTCTGTCCTATGCAGCTGTTACCTTTCTGTCACCGACATTTAAGCTGCCATGGAACACTACTTTTCCATTCCCTAGCTCAAGTGCAGCCCATCACAGCACAACAATGCAGCAGAGCATGGGGAAGCAGTGCAGGGGACAGCGGTTCAGACATACCACCTTCACCACCATGGGCAGGGGCACAGGAAATTATGGGACACTGAAGGGGACATCTGTTTGGAACATTTAATAGGGTCTGACATACACACTGACAGCATGAGATAAAAATTAATGCAAGTGAGTGTATTAGGTTGAGAACAATTAGTGTGAGTGATAAATACATTCACTGCCAGACCCCAGCTTCATTAAGAGCTATTCTGAACTGCATAGTAAGTGCTGGTTGTAGAAGTTTAGACAGATTGGGAATAGGTCACCAGTTACTCATTGAGTCTAATAAGTCTAAAAAAATAATGGAGAAAAAAAATGTGTGCTTTGCCATTGAATAACTCTGATCTCACAGCCTGGGCACAGCAGTAGTAGTTACCTGCCATCACAGATCAATTGAAACGGAATTGCAGTTTCATTCAAATTACATATGCATGCAAAATTAAACAAGTGTTTTCACTAAGAATATGCAGCATAAATCAAGTCCAAGTTACCCATTATTTATCATATATTTGTCAGACTGCCAGACATATCTTTCCCTTTCAGATTCATATCTATGTCACACAGAACATAGCAGATGGAGAAGTTGCAAAGCAAACACTTCTCTACATATCACTGGCCTTAAGGGCCAATGCATTGTATGCCATAAGCCTTCAAGTTTACCAGATTTTTGGGAGAAAACAGCTGCTTTACTAAACTGTGAAAATAGAAAACGTACAACCCAGCCTGCTCAAAACAGAAAAAAAAATGGTTTTATGAAGTTGTGAACAGATACATAACTACTTTCCCCTCGGTCCTGGGACAGAAAGGGCAGTACAGCTGCAGGGCTAGAATGTGCCTCTTGAAGAGCAAACAAAATCCAGAAAATATGATGACTGTGTAGACAAACATCTGAGAAGTCATGTTTCTGAAGAGTTGAACCAATGTTCTGCACAGCCAAATGATGAACAATACACCAAAAGGTCCATTTGGGACAAACCATAAAATGCTCTACAAACATCCAATTTAATTTCCATGTCTGGGAAATCTCTCTCTATCCCTGTCAGCAGTCTGCCAACTGATTTTAAACTTGCAAGGCTTCTTCCCATTTAGCTAGAACTTTTTTTCCCCATAAAGTGCAAATAAGACTCAGTTTTTTACTAGTTCCAATGACCATTATCTTAGTTACAAAAGTGATCAAAAGCCAATTGGCTGAGCCACTACCACTAGGCTTGAGTATCACATACTCTTTTTTTTTTTTTTTTTTTTTTAAACCCTGGTAATTTTTTCCAGCAAAAGGCAAAGAGCAAACAAGTCTTTCTTCTACCAGATGCAGCATGGCAGGAGGCTGCCTTAAGTACCATCAGCATAAGATGCACGTGCTAGACACAACTTGTGCATAAAAATGTTTTGCCCTTATTTGCTGGAAATGGAAGTCATCTTTGGGATCTTATTTCCTCACAAAGAGTTCATGAACAGTTGATTAGTCTTCATTAAGAGGTGCTTCTCTCTTCCTCGCATCTACATCAAAAAGAAAAAAAAAAAAAAAAAAAAAAAAAAGAAGTGGTTGAACCAGGGGATTCTGACTGTATTAATTTGAAAACACAGAAAACAGTTGGTTTGTTTCCAATGGACAACAGTTTCCATTTCAGAATCATGGCATGAATCCACTATGTGGACTGAACTGCTACACGATACCACAGCATGTTAACATGGATAGTCACACAAAGATCTTGTACATTTGTCATGTTCAAATTGAAGATGACTCATGCAATGCTTAAATGGCCCAATAAACTCTGAGACCCCAAATCAGTGATACTTTTCCCCCACTGCCTCTTGGCCCCTTTTTCATGATCCTCTTTAAGGGTGATACCAGTATTTGCTTTGCATACAAGCTACAGAGATGACAACAGTCTGTTCTGCAAACCATTTGACTAATTACAACTTTGCCCAGCTGCACACATTTTTAAAAAGATAAGTGCTCTCCACACTGTATTTTGAGGAGGCAGCCCCTGAAGACCAGATCTTAAACTGCTCTGAACAGCAACCCTTAGATAATGATCCCAGGTAGGGTGTTGGAACACATCCGGACAACTCAGTCCATGACTCATATGCCATTACTACAGCAGCAATGCAGTGTGGCTGCCATTAGAAAGCCAGCTCACCTCTTTGTGGGCTTCTGCCCTTCACTAATACAGACAACCCTATTAATTCCGAACATTCAGAGAACACAATTATTAAACTGTCTGTGAAAGTCCAAACAGGGTACTAAACAGGGTTTGGAGAAGGCAAAATATACCTCCCAAATAACAAAAGAAGAGCTGACTCCCTGTGATTGGAGTAGCCACCCAGGGTAGGAAAAAAATCTCAGACATTTGGGACTCCAGTCAGAAACTGTCTCTCCCATTCTCCCCATTTTGTTCATCAGGGATTCTAGGGCCAGTCCTGAATCGCCTGTCACAACTTCTCCACTTTGCATAAAATAACTTACTAGCAATAACAGGAGAAAAAGCTTTCTAAAAATGCATTACATATGCTTGTAGCTACAGAACCACTCCTGATCTGTCTCTGACTTTGTAAATATCAAAAAGCATTAAATTCTTTCTAGTGAACATTTATAAAAAAAAATCATACCGGTTAAGTTCCTGAACTTCTTTTTGGCTTCTGCTCTTTCTTCAGCATCAAAATACCACACAGTCATGGCATATCTATAAAAGAAAGAAATCTTGCATGTCTTTCCATTTTTGATATTAAAATACAGCACTGGAGTTTTATGCTCATGGAGAAAGCAAAAGCTATACTGGATTAGTAGACTAAAAAAGTAGAATGAAAATGACACATCTTTATAGGCAAACACAGAGCATTTTAGTGCGTATTTTAACAAGTCAGATAGAAATATAGGTGAGAATTTCTGCTGGAGGCACAAAAGAGAGCACAGCCCCTGGTAACAGAGGGCAAAAGTAGCTTCCAAACCTTTGCATGTTTTTCTGTTCTGGGACGCCTGTAGGCAGCTTGGGGGCTGCCCTGCATCACATCAGCTTTTCACAGTCTGCTGACAGATGGTAGCCCCAACAATCCCTATAGTGTTACAAGGGCAAAAGAATAACCCAGCACTTCCCAGCTAAACAGCTATGCACAGCTTGGAAGATTTCTCCTGTCAATGGTTAAGGGCATTTTTTTCCAGCACATGACGAAATGTATCATTCGAGCTTGCTCCTCCTTACTTAATGAGAAAATTCCCAATGACTCAAAACCAGGAAATTCACTCAACATCTGTCCATTTTTTATGCATATGTATTTAAACATGATGGCCATAATTTTGGATGAAAATACTGGTAGAAGAGATGCTCTGTTTTTTTTCCTAGCCAAAATCCAATATTAAATATGCTACTTACCTGGTTGCATAAGAAGGCTGCACTTCATGTGGGTTCCTTCGATCTGACCAAAAAAAAAGTAATCGGTCAAAAATTGGCTCAACATCTGCTACATAAGACTTTCCTTCTGGGAATATTCGAAGAATTCCACCATGCAGCTGAAAGAAAAGGAAAGATTGTTTTTTTTGCACATATAAACAGCCACACATTCACATGAAAAATAACTTATCTGTCCTCCACACCTAACACACAGGGAATAAACATCTAATGATAAACATGACACCTATGTGACAACACTGGAAAACCTTACTGTGTCTCTTGGCCACTTTGATTTTACCAGTTTGTAATGTTTCACCTTAAAATTTTGTCTAAAGCAAATGAACCAAGATAAAGATAAACCAGCCCTGCAGCAAACACTGGGAAACTTCTGAGCTTCCAGTCACACTTCTAGAACCAGTGAATACCACAGAGCTGCTCTACCTGACCAGTCTGAGATCAGGCTCTCTGCCCAACAGTTGTTAGATACTGCTTACAGTATTTCAGATGCCATGCCTGATCACTTAGGAGTTAACTTCTACACCTCAGGAAGAGTGAAGTCTGTTTTACTGTTAGATTTGTAAAACTTCTCAAATGCATTATAGATCCCAGCCACCATTTTCCCTACTCATAACACAGCCTGGTTTCTCTACCATATAATTTCTGTCTTTCCATGTGCCACAATTTTCTGGAAAAAGGTCTGGTGATCTGCACACACCCTAGAAACTTCAAAAGATGAATTTGAGCCCTGCCTCCTCCTGGTGTTGTTAGAGCACTCTTTGGAGACTTTAATGCCGCATCAGAGAGTGCAGTGCAGCACCAACCTGACATGGTACCTCCATGCCACATGCAGACCTCAGTGAGAAACTATAAAGCCAGGTTTAAAGAGCCGCATGGCTGCTTTCAAAGCCCAGTATGATTATACTCTTATATTGCATGTCCTCCAGCATACACTTACATAAAATCACCATCACATCTACATAATAAACTCCATCAGTGTCCTGCATTTCAGTTAGCTTTTCTTAGTGCTCACTTGGGTGCCTCCTCACTATTTGGATAAGGATGCAATGCACAAAAAAACCTGGATATTTGCATTTCCTCCTTCATTTTACTACAATGAGATGTTTCACTGTCATATGCTCTGCAACAAGATGTGCTTTTCTGCAACACTGCATTTTTCAATCACATTGCCTCTGTATCTGAGCTCACTTATTGGGGTTCACAGTATTTACCTGTTCCTAAAGAGTATATTGGCCTAAAAAGAGGTTAGAGAACCAAACAACATTGGACAATTTTCAAGCAATAACACCCATGAACAGTTTGTGGTACATTAGGACAACAGACTTGCAAAGAGACATCCTGCAATTCTACCAACTCTTCTTTTGTTTCTGATTTAAAGGTATGGCACATTCAAGGCTGACTTAACTGCTTTATAGTAATACAGGAAGAAACAAGAGGTCTATCCAGTCAAGAGACCCACTGGTGGAATCAAACCATGTTTGTTCCTCTTCCTAAGCCCCACTGCTTCATAAATAAGAAAAGGGAACTGCCTGAATATCTTCTGCAGGTTAGACTGAAGTATCAAGAATGATACAGTCACAAATTTGGGTTGTCATTTTACTCTGCTCCCACAATCCACTTATTCTGTAGTGAATTGATTTTCTTTTTCTGCTCTTTCCTCTAAACAAAGTGTTAAGAGCATACAAGCCAGTGCTTATAGCTTTATCCTATAGCAACAAAACCGTATGTGTGTAGAACCGGAGAGAGGATGATAAGGAAACAGGTTCACATTCTTACTTCCAAAGCATTGCCAAAAACAGACAGAAAAAAAAAAAAAAAACCGAAAAAAGAAGAGATGAAGAATGGACCAGCAGCTCAGAAGTTCATCAGAGTTCACAGAAACAACAGACAGCTCCAAAGTTCTGTTTTCAAAGTAGTTTTTCCTTCCTGTTCTGCCTCAACCCCATGGTTTACTCACCTTGGAGTCCCAGTTCTTATTCAGGTAATAAATACAGGTGATGCAGCGCCCGTCACCATTGGGATTGTCCACATGACGAACGTACCCAGTTCCATTTCCAGGATAGCAAGCAACCATGGCCTGAAAGATACAGATTGTAAAATAGTTAACTCTGTAAGATGCCTACCTTCAGTTTTAATTTGCTAAGCATCCTCCCACCACCAGTCTGGCTCACTGTTTTTCAAATGATTAATCCAAAACCTAAAGCAGACATCACCTGAAGGTACCTGTGCACAAATGTCTTTCAAAGGACGGCTCAGCCAGCTCAGAAATTCAAAACTGGAAAATAAATACCCTTCATAATTCACAATATATACACTAAAATTAAAGGGAAAAAAAAGAAACTAGAGCACTAGTATGCATGGTACAAGCTTATTACAAGCTACGTGACTTTGAGGCAGTTTCAGCTGAAATTTGCTGGGGTTTCTACAGATAAGCAGTCATTGCAAAACAGATTTTCCAGTCATAGTGAAAGTAGAAAGCAATCCCAGGATGTCATGCTTTACCACCACCATCCTCCTCTAATCATATCTTCCAGGCATTGTCATATACACCACTGTGTGCAACTCGAAGTGAGTGGTCCCCAGGAGATGTTGGTAAAACTCCATAGAGCAAAGTCTGCAAAAAGGTGCAGCTCCTTTGTTCTGTGTTTGCACAGGGCAGTGAATGTTTTCTTTCATGGACTGAGCCACAGAACTAACCAAATAGCTTTCAGAGCATTTCTCTCTTTGATCATCTTCATACTTGCTGATACAATCACTTAATTCACTATTTAAATTTCACCTTGAATGATGAGATAAGCCTAACATGAATTATTCCAAACCACATGGCAATCAACAGGTCTTAAAAGGTTTTTACAACAAAAACATATTCAACTTAGTTGACTTAATTAGCAGCCTAAGCAGGCAAGAGCAGGTGAGACTGCTGGTATGGCACTAGATGTTTCTCTCAGTCACCCTTCGCTACTGGGGCTACTTGGCAGTGATACTGATCACACCTAAAGCTGTTGCAATAGCAGTAATGTTCCCACTCCACTGACATCTCCAGACTGTTTGTCAGTATTAGTAGCAAGAGTGATGGGAAATGATGGACTAAATTCAGTTGGAAAACTGCAGATAGTGTTCAGATGTGGTTTCTGCAATTATCACTCCTCAATCTGTGTGCTGTGCAGGAAGCACACCACAGGATCAAGTTCAGCTCATTGTCCAGCAGGAGGAACTGAGGGTTCCCAGGTTCCCCTGGGGAGCAGATCTGCTGGCAGCCCCCAACCTGTAATTCTGCAAGGGGCTCTTCTTTCCCAGGAGCAGGAGTTAGATTTGCCCATGTTTAATTTCATATGCTTCCTGTTGGCCGGTTTCCCCAGTCTATCTGGTTTCCTTTTAGTGGCAGCCTTGCCCTCAAGGGCATCAACTGGTCCCTCTCAGTTTGGTGTCTTCTGCACAGCTGAAGAGCACACTCTGCCATCTGTTTCAGGTTACTGATAAATAAAGGTGTTTAACACAACAGGTCCCATGACAGATCCCTGTGGTGTCCCATTTGGTAGCAGCCTCCAGGTATAAGAGGTCTGATGGACCAGGACCCTCCAAGTCCAACTATCCAGTTTTTTACCCATCTATTTTACCCATCTACTTTTCCATCTTTTCAGACAATAAAACCCTAACTTCACATATAACAGTATTTTACATGCCTGTGCTACAGAATGAGGATATGACTGTGCAACATTTGCATGACCTGCTCCAATGATCTGATATGCACAATTTATAATGTAATTGATAGTTAGAGATTGACAGTATAGGCTTTACTAAGAACTTTTTATCTAGGAGCCCCAGAATTCTTGTTTTCTTCTTCCAAGCACATGCAAAAGGCATGCTGATCTCAGGGGACATGACCAGGTACAGCACAGCACATGCTGCTTTAATCAACAAGCAAATTTTACTGTGCCAACAAACACCAGCACAGAAGTTACTGCCAGCCAGCACAGTGGATCCCTTGAACCCTCTGCTACCAAGAAGAAAACCTCTCCACAGGAGTCAGAGACGTATGAATTAACTTCCCTCCCCACAACAAGCACCAGAACAGTACCTGCAGGCAGCAGTAAGTCACCAGGGCCCACGCTCCACACCTCAGGCCAAAGGTGCCTAGAGACTTGCGGCCTGCAGGGTCAGGACATTACGCTAAACAAAAGCAAGTACTTTTAATTCCAAGTAATCAGCCCTCTTCCATCACACCTAGCAGTTAGGTAGATGCCTTGCTGTAGATCCTAACTGCTCTGTTGTCATTCTGCTGTTACAAATGGTTCCAGAGCTGCAACTACATTTCACTATCAGCCTGATAACAACAGTAAGGGCCAGTCTACAGCATAGTGCTCAAAACACATTAAGGGCATAAGTCTGGTGGAAACCAAAAGTCACCTGTACCTGCAATATAATACTGGTCTGAGGAAGCTGGGCCCTCACTGGTAAGGATAACCCAGTTTCCAGTGCATTCACCCATCCCAGTTACTAGCACAGCACCTCATGCAGGTGGACCTTCACCCATCCCACATGCAGTGAGCTGCATCAGGTCTAACAATTAAAACAGTAACCTTTGGTAAAACAGGATCTTCCTACTCTGGGAAACATGACCCTGGTGCCCCTTAAGCCATTCCATCACTCCCCTCCTCAACTGAGCAGGGAAAGAAAGTGTAATGAAAGGCTCATGGGTTGATAAGGATAGGGAGAGATCACCCACCAGTAACTGTCACAGGCAGAACAGACTAGACCTGGGGAAACTGACTGAATTTATTGCCAAACAAATCAGAGTAAGATAGTGAGAAATAAAACCAAACATTAAGACACCTTCTCCCTACTCCTCCCTTCCTCCCAAGCTCAACTTCACTCCCAAGTTCTCTACTTGGCCAGCAGTGGGTCCATCTTGTAGCCAGCTGGCATTGCCCTGTCAGACATGGGAGAAGCTTCTGGCAGCTTCTCACAAAAAAGCCCTGACAGCCTCTCAGCTACCAAAACCTTGCCCTGCAAACCCAACAAATCCTGAGAGCTAAGAGTACCGAGGAGAGGAGGCAGCAATTCCGACCATGGGGCAGGGAGGAGCGCAGTGCTGGAGCGGTGTGCGGCACAGCTGCTGCCAGGGCATGGGCACCACAGCACCAGCCCGGCCAGCTCAGCACAGCCCTGCTCAGCACACCAGGGGGACGAGGCATGACAGGAATACAGCCTCATTGACCAACAGTACCTCATTTTTAAGTCGATGTACAACACAAAATTATGGGGGCCTTAAGTCTCTCTTTGGAGAGTAGACATTACTCCAAGATTACTGAACTGCCTAAAAATCAATCCAATGTTACTACTGTTTTTAATGCCACAAACAAAAAGCTACTGAACAGCAGACTGAAGGGCAGATCCTGAAAGGGATTTAGGTGCTTTATTTACTATGAAAATCTAGGCAAAAGGCCAGAGTTTCTCCTGGCCTCCCCCACATAATATGTTCTCTTAGAACATGTGCTTTGTCTCCAACATAAATGCATAATTTATTTATTTACAGTGTGCACCTTTTGCAACTGCAACACTCCATCCCTGAATATTAAGTGGAACAATTCCCACAGAATCCTAAAGCATGGGTCACACTATTGCTTAACTTTCAGAAAAGCAAAGAGAAAAAAGTTTTCTAGTAGCAGCAGCAAAAGAAGAAAAGCAGAAGTGAAATATCCTTTTTCCTGGCACAGCGAGTATTTGAATGAAACCTTAAACAATGAAGGGAAATCATTGTGGTCCTCCTAGAGACTGTTGAAACGATATCAAGCTTTATCAGAGCAATGGCTGGATCAGCTCCAGAGCAGATCAAGCTGGCCTCAGCAGGGATTCCAGCTGTTAGCAGTACTTTTGGATTCATTTAAAGCAAACAAGAAACAGGAGATGCGTGACCCAGACTTAATTTAGCTAATTTGTGAACACTGGTATCTGCCAGGTTAGTGCACAGTCCAGCTACAAAAGCCAGAGGCTCAATAACAATAATCAAACCACTTACCAGGTGTGCACGTGGAGTGTTAGTAAGAAATGTTTCCTACACTTTTGGCTATTGTGTCCAGAAGAGCACACTCCATTTTTGGAAGCAACTCCTCTCTTCATTAACAATCTCCAAACCTAAACTAATCAAACTTACTATAGCAGGCAGTAATGAGCAGGAATGTACCTAACCTTTTCTTTTTCAATACAATCTATTACAATGGCTGTTGTTTGGCTTAACTTCCCAGTGTAAGTATTCATAAAATTTCTGCAACACTCCCCTTTTCTGTGTTAAAAAAACAAGAGTTTGCCTTACACTACAGCTGAATAGTTAAAAACTGATATCCAGATGCATGCCTTTGGACTCACACTTACACACCACCATATGAAGACCAATGCTCTGGTAGTCTAGTCAACAGTCACAAATTAAACCCTACAAAATTTGGAAAATTAAAAGCAAATCATCAAAACTAAAGCTTCTGCCCTTTATTTTCAGGGATGTTAGCTTTCCCAAGAGGGTGCAACCACAAGTTAAACAAGCAGCAATTACCAGCTTTAGTAAGGACCCAGGAATCGTCAGTAAATTCCACATTGCACAGAAGCTTGCAAGAATAAGTTATCTATCATTCAGTCTAAGTATTACACTCAAGTCAGCCAGAGAAATCTGCAAGTCAAACTGCAAGACACTAGCAAAGTTTGAAGGCAGATAAAAAACAACTGTTCCATTGAGAGGATTTTTCCCTGCCTCCCAGAGGTTCTAGCAAGCAGAAAAACAAATTCTCTTAGCTGATGGCCAGGATCATGCTGTGAGACATGATTTACAAAATAAGCAATGCTAGAGCAGCCTGATACTTGGAACAGAACATTTCAGAAAACATCTCAGATAGAAGATGTTTGTAAGTGGAAACAAACAGTGCTTAATAGGAAGCAGTGGTGACACCAGGTCAGAAGGTCCCAAATTTCAGCCCACTATGTGGTTCTCAGTTCTGAACTTGAGCAAAACAAAAATCACTTTTGACCAGTCCTCTAGGGTATTAGGACTACCAGGATTCACTTGATTGTCTTAGGTTTGAATGTATG